GATTTGATATTAAAAGGTAAGTTAAGGCTTCCTCAATTGACTGGGAAAGATCCAGCTGAAATTATTGTACCTTTAACAAATGATGAAATTTCCTCCTTATGGAAAGATAATGAGTATTGGCAAATAGCTTGCAGTGACGTTTTGGGAACTATTAGTGTGGATTCACTTTCCCAACTCTGCCTGATTCGACTGGATACATCTGAACTGCCCCACATCATCGACCCCACCTGACAGGCACCATCCTGAAACCAGCTTGGAACTACATCACCCGACACATCGTCAGGCCAAGAAACTGATACAGTGCATCTTCTACAATCTGATCAGAGCTTCAGACAAGAGCTTCAATCAAAATCATAAATCTAATCCGGAACTTCAGTCAAGCCTCTCCTACAAAACGACCTATTTAAGACTCTTGTTATACTAACAATCTTTTCCCACAGGTCCCCATGATTGTCATCGTCCCACTTCAGCAGGAAGTAACTTTGAGAATTCCACGTCCCCTCTCCCTACTATTGACATAAAAGGATAGTTTACCCCTGTTAGTGTAATTTGCAATTATTTAGGGTTGGAACCGGAAGGAGGTGTTCAGACTTAGGCATCCCTTTCGGATAAGTTTAGAATTTAGGTGGAATGGATATGTTTAGTTTAGGATAAGTAGATTATAACTTAATTATCACCCTCTATGTATATATGTTGTATATGTTTGAGTTTGTATCAAATTTAAATCTTCTATTTAGACTAAAAGGGGAATTGTAGGAGTGAACCCCACAAAGCTACCCGCCCAACAGGGCGGGGTCAAGGTAGAGATAAAAGGTAGTGAAAGGAAAAGGGGCCTCCCTCTTTTTCTCCTGGAAGCCAGCCACGCTTCTAACTCCTGGTATGTGCGACTCTCTCTCTCCCTGATAAATAAATATATTGTTTTTCCCTATATAGCCTCGATTACCGCGATACTGAATGGAGAGTGAGGAGGAGTTGATGAAGGGGGAGGGTGGATGGGAGTTAGGGAGAGGGAACAGGCAGACCAGACAGAGAGGAACCTGAGGTCCATATAAATAAAAATGTTAACTAAGTACAATTAAACTAAAAAAATGTCTCTATAAGATCATGTAGAGGAGGGCAGTGGGACATTTTCTTAATTAGCAATTGAGGTGACAAGGCCCAGACCAATTGTGTGTGTTCTAGAAGACACCAAAACAAGCCAGTAAGTGTCACCCTCCATGGTCTCTGCATCAGCTCCTGCCTCCAGGTTCCTGCCTGTCAGTGTTCCTATTCTGACTCCCTTCAGTGGTGAGCAGTGATATGAAAGTGTAAGCCAGAGAAACCATTTTCTTCCCAACTTGCTTTATAGTCATGATATTTCATCACAGTAATAGAAACTGTAAGTAGGACAAACACTGAACATCACATATCCACTTCTACTTTCAAGGATCAATAAGTCTTGTTGCTTATGAGTTTTGACTCTCTCTTCATGATATTAGGAGTAATTTTGGATTCAATTAAAATACCACCTTCAGACAAGTTCAAGCCTAGAACTGATAAACAACACAATGTGGTGAAGAACAACACAAAAAGTACCAAATCCCCATTTAAAATCTGCCAAATAACTGGATGCTGGCATGTAAAAGACTGCACATAGATCCATATCTATCACCATACACAAAACGTAAGTCCAAATGGATCAACATTGATCCAGCCTCACTGAACCTCTTAGAAGAGAAAGTAGGAGGTACCCTCGAATGAATTGGTACAGGAGACCACTTTCTGAATATAACACCAGTAGCACAGACACTGGGATTGACAATTAATAAATGGGACCTCCTGAAACTGAGAAGCTTCTGTAAGGACACAGTCAACAAGACAAGATGACAGTCCACAGAATCGGAAAAGATATTCTCCAACCCCACATGTGAGAGAAGGTTGGTCTCCAAAATATACAAAGAACTCAAGAAGCTAATCACTGAAACACCAAATGATCCAATTAAAAAGTGGGGTACAGAACTAAATAGAGAATTCTCAATAGAGCAATCTAGAATGGCTGAAAGACACTTAAGAAAGCACTCAATATCATTAGCCACCAGGGAAATACAAATCAAAACAACTCTGAGATACCTTCTTACACCTGCCAGAATGGCAAACATCAAAAACACCAATGACAATTTATTCTGGAGAGGATGTGGAGAAAGGGGAACATTCCTCCACTATTAGAGGGAGTGCCAACTTGTACAGCCACTTTGGAAATCAGTATGGAGATTCCTCAGGAAAATGGGACTCAGTCTACCACAAGATCCAGCAATTCCACTCTTAGGCATATACCCAAAATATGCACATTCATACATCAAGGACATCTGTTCAACTATGTTCATAGCAGCATTATTTGTAATAGCCAGAACCTGGAAGCAACCTAGATGCCACTCAACTGAAGAATGGATGGAGAAAATGTGGTGCATTTACACAATGGAGTATTATCTGTGGAAAAGAAAATGGAATCTTGAAATTTGCAAGCAAATGGATGGCACTAGAACAAACCATCCTGAGTGAAGTAACCCAGTCACAAAAAGACAAACATGGCATGTACTCACTCACATATAGATTTTAGACATAGAGCAAAGGAGTATCAGTCTACAATCAACACAGGCAGAGAATCTAGGAAATAAGGAGGATCCTAAGAGAGACATAAATGGCCCTCTGGAGAAGGGTAAAGGGACAAGATCTCCTGAGCTGATTGGGAGCATGGAGGAGGGGAGAGGTAGTTAGGAGAAAGAGAAGGGGAAAAGAGGAAGGCGAAGAGGACATGAGGGAGCAGTAGAATTGAGTCGGGAAGAATAGAGAAGGCAAGAAAGGAGATATCATAATAGAGGGAGCTATTATAGGTTTAAAGAGAAATCTGGCACTAGGGAGATGTCCAGAGATCTACAAGGATGACCTCAACTAACAATCTAAGCAATAGTGGAGAGGCTACCTTAAATGCCCTCCTCTGATAAAGAGCTTGATGATTACCTTACATGCCATCCTATAGCCCTCATCCAGTAGCTGATGGAAGCAGAAGCAGACCCCCATAGCTAAACACTGAACTGAACTCCTGCAATCCAGTTGCAGAGAGGGAGGTTTGAGGAGCAAAATGGTCAAAACAAGGCCGGAGAGACCTACAGAAAAGGCTGACCTGAACAAGGGGGAGCTGGTGGACCCAGACTGACAGCTGGGAAACCAGCATAGGACTGTTCCAGACCCCCTGAACATGGATGTCAGTAAGGTCTGGGCAATCTATGGGGCATCTGGTAGTAGATCAGTATTTATCCCTATAACTGGAATGGACTTTGGGAGCCTACTCCTCATAGAGGAATACTCTCTCTGCATAGACGTAAGGGGGAGGGCCAAGGCCCTACTACAAATGATATGACAGACTTTGAATATCCCCCATGGAAGGCCTCACCCTATCTGGGGAGCAGAAAGGGAATAGAATAGGGGCCGGTAGGGGAGGGCAGGTGAGGAGGTGAGGGAGAAGGAACTAGGATTGACTTGTAACACCAACATGTTTCTAATTTAAATAAAATAAATAAAATTTAAACAAACAACAAAAATTCCACAGAACCTCAACAGAGATGCAAAAAAATCACTGATGGGGATGGACAAGGGACAGCTCTGGAGTTCACAATGAACTTGTCCTATCTTCTCTTAAGCACACTAGAATATGTGAAACAGTGACTATGTGTGCATGCATTCAGACTGCACCTGACCAAATGTTTATACAGAAAACACAACAGTTGGCTTCATAGGGTCCCACATAGAAACTTTATACAATAACCTGTTATCATAGTTTCTTTCCTGTGGCTGTGATAAAACACCATGACACACATTTTCACCAAGTACAAATTACAAACATAGTATACAAGAAATTAGGGTAACAAACTCATTTACAAAAATATCAAAAGGGGAGGAGGATGGGAGACCTTGAAGTAAATATAAACAAATGAAATACTTGAATAACAAAAGCTTTAGGATGCTGAAAATAAACTGAAGATACTAGATGATAGACAGACCTTCCATGCTTATAGATTGTGGGATAAATATGAAAATATCCATCCTATCAAAAGCAATCAACAGATTCAATGCAATTCCCATCAAAATGATAATACAATTCATTTAAATTAAAAAATACTAAATTTTGCATGGAAATACAAAACACTCTGATTAGCAGAACAATTCTGAATAACATAACATCTATAGGCATTATCAACCTTTGGAGGTGTCACCACCATTTTTGAGAGAACCTATCTCCCTGTTATGTGAAGAATGATTCATCTCCTCTACTGATAAGAGGCTTTCAGTGGGCCTGTCTGCATATCTGGAATCTAGAGCAACAAATTCTGTCACACTTTACCACCCCATGTGTTCTCCTCTCATACAGAGGTCATCAACGTGCCTAACCCTAACCCTAATCCTAACCCTAACCCTAACCCTAACCCTAACCCTAACCCTAACCCTAACCCACTCAAAGGAAAATGATACTTGAGCCTGGGGGCATCCTGCAGCACAGGCATAGAGATCACTCCTTGGGCACATGCTGTACAGTTTATCCAAGTATTCAGTTATCCACATCAGCTGTATAAGCACACTTATCAAAAGTAAAAATAAAGTGAACTCTATCAATACTATGTATGTCCTTTAGGTAATGAGGTATTGTTAGTTTCCTTTTGAAAGTTAATATTAAAGGCTGCCTAAATGATACAAAGAGGACAACTTGGGACACATGTACTTGTCCAGCCAAGAAAGTTTTCTTTCTTTTTTTTTTCTTGGGCCATTCTTTGTTTTCTCACTCATCCAACTGACATCAGAGCAGTGGCCACAAAGCCTGGTAAGAAAGCCTGTTCCTTCTCTCCTACAGACCATAATAAGCTTTAGCATAAGGCCTCATGTCCTAAGTACTGATGTGTCAAGTATTTACATGTTCAAGACGGAACTCAAGGAAATTTTCCTCTCAGAAAAACACAGTTCACACTCACCAGCATGGACACAAAGTAGAACATCACAAGTAGTGTTGGCACAGCCACTGCATTCTTCCCTGCTCTTATAGACAGTGGCAGGGAGCTGGCAGAATAAGCCAACATCATGATGGTAAACAACATAGTGAAGAATCCCTTCACATCTGTTATGATTCCTTAGAAAGAGAAAAGTGGAGTCGGTTCTTAAGTCAAGGGAATTGTACATACTTCAGATAATATTTTAATAACCAACAAGACCAGTCACCCAACTCTCTGGGCCTTCATCTGCTACTTGATAATGTGGATGCTGGAACCAAATTTGGGGGCTTTAAAGGAGCAGTACTTGCTCCTAACCAATGAGTCTTTTTCTAGCCATATAATATAGTTTTATTTTTGTACTTGCCACAATATTACCTTCCTTATACTACCTGTTCTCCTCTATACATAAGCTGGCATGGAGAGCTACAGGCAACACAACTGAATAAAATTTTACTGCATTCTCTTATAGGAGAAATCAGCAGTAGAACATGCACATGTCCACATTCCCTGTGTTTATACAATTAAAATAGTAATGAACTTGGAATTAGGATTGTACTGGTAGGTTTTTGTCAGTATAACAAACGTTAGGATCTTATGGGAAGAGTCAACCTCATTAAGAAAAATGCCTCCATTAGATTGGTCCTTAGGCAAGAGTGTTTTAGCATTTCCATGAGGAATGATTCATGTGGGCAGTCTTAGACAACTGTGGATGATGCTGTCCCTAGCCTGGTGGTCTGGGTTCTATAAGAATGCAGTCTGAGGAAGCCATAAGGAGCAAGCCAGTAAGCACGTAAAATGTACATGGATGTATATGTAATAATTGACTTTGCTCCATTGGCACTGTCCCAAGTGTATGTTATTTGTTCAGTTATTATACTACACAGAATCTCGTAATTAAATCACAGTTTCACAAACAGCATTTGTAGTATTTGTGAACAGGTCTTTGAGACTTTTCTCTCACTGAACACTTGTGTTGGATGGTACCTGGTGGAGACATGGTTTTTCTACTCATGCTTCTCTACTTTAGGCTTGCCACAGTTGTACAAACCAAAACATACTTCCCCAAGAGTAAAGATGCATTCTCTTGCTTTGTCACTTACCTGCTATGCTGAGTACTGTAACAGTGAATATACTTTGCAATAACCTTCTGGGTACCAGATCAGCCAGCAATTTCCCAAAGAAATATGATGGCACTCTGTAGTATCCACTAGTATGCTCATGTCTACAGAGACAAAGACCAGGTTATAGATTGTTAGATTAGTCCAGAAGGCACAGGTGAGATGCTGGCTACACTGACTTCTGCTACCACAGGGCAGGGAGCCTAAGAGGACAGTGTCCCCTGTACTCCAGGCTGACTCCTGTACAGGTCCCCATCTTAGGGACCAGCTACTCTAGGCCATCATCCTTATGACATTGCCATTTTGATTCTACCTATCAGAGAACGCTCCCCTCTTTTGTCCCCCCTGGGCACACAAGAGCCCCTCCAGGGAACAGTCTGATGAGCCCACTTTCCTCAGAGTCTCTCCTCCTCTGAAGCTGGCTCCCTGAGGAGAAGCTCATTCTTACCTCACCTCAGACAGTGGTCATGGAGACTTGTCTCCTTCTAGTTCTTATGAAGAAGGTGACACTGTCACTCTGAGGTCACAGAGCAGCTTCAGGACACTACATCCTTCTCTTTGGCTACTCTCACTTTAGGACGGATGTATTCTTTCCATAGTCTCTTTTACAACCATAAATCTTTACCAGAGACCAAACCTAATCCTTTCCCTTCCTGTTCCTTCTGAATCCCAAGCTCTTCCCCTTCCAGTGAGTTCATTGTAAGTGATTTTTTTATATATACAGGATTACCAGTGCCTGCTGGGCTTAAATTTCATATGTATCCAAGAATGACCATTCTCCTGCCTCTATCCCATCCCCATAAATCCATGCTCAGGTATGTGGTACTGTGAATCTAACACAGGGTTTCATGCACACAAAGCATCTGCTCTATCAACAGAGTGAGGCCCTCACCTCCTCTCTGATGTCTCCTCTCCTTGGTATGTACTTGGGGCAATCTTGGCCATCTTTGTGAGCAGTGAATCCTAAGCACAGACCACTGGGCAAAGGTTCTTCCATGTGTGAAAAACACAGGAGATGAACAGCTCTTTCTACACAGCTGCTGTCTGGCTCTTCCCACCCCTCCATCCCCAGGCTGTGCATGCTCTCATTATTACACACAGCTGTACCTCTCCAGCTCCAATGTGTTGCTGAACCCACTACACGGAAGCTCTATGAAACCCCTGACATCTTTGTGGGAGTCACTAATTTCCTGTGATTTTTCAGTCCCCTCCTGCTGTGTTGTCTGCAACACTGAGATCTGGTGACCACACCCCAAATTTGAAACTTTCTCTGAGCAGTAGACATCTCTGCTCCTGATTTCCCATCCAGGTTTCATTAATATCAGCAATCTCTTTACATACTTCAAAAAATCATGACACTAAATGATAAACACAAAATTTCATAATTTGTTTATTTTCAACTAAATAAGTAAGAAAAGGGGGAGTGACTGGCAATTCATGAGATACCATTCTAGACCCAACTATGAGCATAATCAGCTTGATCATCAGTCCCTGATGCCTGCTCCTGGGGCAGGGTCTACTCACAGAAAATGATCCCTGTCAGTCACGAAGAGCTCCAAGGCAAAACAGCTTGTGATACATTCATGGGCTGTGAGCAAGAATAACAGGGTGGCTCTGCCGTGGAAGATTGGAGGCAAAAGCAACAGTAAGGTCAACATTAGGATGGTTTCTTTGCAACACATGTTGGTTTTGTAGATTGAATCATATTACACAGATCTAGTCTTTTGTTTTTTGTTTTTATTGTTTGTTTGTTTTTTTCAAGACAGAGTTTCCCTGTGTAGCTTTGTAGTCCAGGCTGGCCTTGAACTCACAGAGATATGCCTGCCTCTGCCTCCGGAGTGCTGGGATTAAAGGTCCTCCCTACACTACAACTGGTAAAATGTGAAATGTGTGGTGTGTATAGATTCATAGTATCTACATACATATATGAAAGAGTGAGTTCTTCCACTCAGCCTTCAAGGTATCAACACATTCTATCATATGATAAAGTTCTTGTCATAAATTCTAATTCTTAATGGATTTATACAGCTTCAACAAAGTAACAGCATTTTATCATGTGCTTACCTCCTCTGGGCTTCCATACAATCATTTTTTAGGAAACGGAAAGTGGTACCCACAAATATGGCCACCATGACTGCGATAATTGCCTTTTGAAACAATACAGGGGATAAAAAAACATTTCCATTAGGAGTATAAATTATTTTACACATTGTCCATTATTTTAACACATACGGTTTTGTAATCATATTTCTCCAGGGAGATAAACACTATATTTTGACAGAGTCCCTGGAAGAACATAAAACACACATGTCAATAGACTACGTGGGTTGTATAACTGAGAATTAATGTACCTGAAATCAGAGGCTCTGACAGGACAGACCCTGGAAAAGCTAAGACTTCTCCCAGAGTCCACTAGGAAGGACTCAGGTCGGGTACTGAAACCCCAATGACACAGGGGGGAAGAGAACACAGGTACCAGGGAGTTTAGGGGACACAGCAACGTTTGTGACAAAAAGTGTTCACCTAAACTGAGATCTCTCAACTCTTGTGCCAGCAAGCATGGGCAGCTTTCTACTTCAAGTGGCTGAAAAGAATTCAGATTCTCTACACTCTTATAGTTAGAAACAAATACACCCCAGGCTTGGAGGACAGCTCAGGGGCAGGATCCTGAACAATATACAGGAGATGCTGATCCCCTGAAGTGCAAACCAAATATCAAATTAAAAATGAACGGCAATACAGTTCCTAGCAAGGGGATTTTGTGTGCTAAGAAGAGGTCAGTTGGTCCTCACCTGTGTCACATCTGGAAATCTGTGCCTGTGTGGGAAGGGACACTGTTGCTATATTGCTGTCACCAAAGTATTCACACAGCGTCCTCTGGGTGGCTCGATGCTTCCATTGCCCATCATCTGTCACTGCTGCTCCATCAACCTCAGCATGAGCAGCCTGTGCTCAAGTCTCATCTAAGCTGCCAAATGCTCTAGCCTCTCATCTACCTCTATTGACTCAATCTGTGCAGACAATTATATGGAGTCTACACCACTTTGGTTTGGGGTTGAAATGGCTTTAAAGGGTGCATCACTTGCCAGAGGTATAAGGCTACATGATGCAGTAACTGATTTGAAAGATTCTATTATTCCTCTGATAATGTTTAGAATATTATTACCTAAGGAAAGCATCCTACCATTTAACTTGATAATTTGGAAACCAAAATCCCGGGGCTTGGAGATAAGGCTCAGCAGTTACGAACACTTGTTCTTGCAGAGGACCTGGAATTCAGTTCCTAGCACCCCAATACCCCTTAACAATCTCCTGTAACTCCAGATCCAGAGGATCTAATGCCTTTTTCTCACCTCCATGGGCATTCATATGATAGGTAGTTACACATGCAGGCAAACACCAACATACAATAAACAAATAATTAATTTAAAAATATTTCACAATTCCTAGCATTGCTAACACACACACTTTTTCCTTCATGATACTGTTCACTGTTGAATAAAATGAATAACTCATTTTGACGAGTGAAACTCACCTGTTTACAAATCATGTCAAATCTTTGGTTGTCAAAGAAATCAGACATAAAAATACTCCTTTTATGGTATAGAGTACAAGAAGAAAGACCATAGTATTTGGAGCAACAGACAGTATAACTCAAATGGAAAGAATATTCACATACACTCAGGGAACAGTGTTTCATTACAGCCAACAACACACGACCTTTCAGTATTCAACAGAAACTCAATGCCTGAGAATAAAATAACAACACACTAACAGCAGAACTGACTTCAAACTCTGGTTGGACAGGGCCAGGGATGTAGGTCCAGGGTAGAGTGTTTGCCCTCTAGTGGCCAAGGCCCCAGGATCAGTAACTAACACAGTAGAATCATCAACATCATGAATAAAAATAAATAAATAAGTGATGGCTCAATGAGCTTCATTTCTGTGTGATATTCAGTTAAAATAACAGACATGATGATCCTTGTTACAGAACCAGTTTAAAGAGAGGTAGAAAGTCACCTCCTCCTAATTCCCAGGGGAGTGTGAACATCAGTCCAGTTAGTTTTTGTGTGTGAACTGAACTTTTTTTAGTAGCTACTGCTTTCACACATTAGACTCCAATAAGGGGAGAGCCTCCCATGGCAGATTCATCTCTCAGGCAGTAGATGGACAGGCTCCCTCAGAGCTTTTCAATAGCTTAATTTCCTTATCTTATGATTTCAACTATAGATCAACCTTCTTTCCCCTCTCCAGATATCTCCACCCCTCTCTATTTTAACTTTCTCCAAGTCCATTCTCCCATCTGATACACTACAATTTCATCTCTTTATCCTGTTACTGTCCATCCACTCACAGGAAAAGTTGCATCTGGAAAAAAAAAGCCTTTTCCTCCTTTACTCAGCCCTGTACTTGAAGTTGTAGGCTACACAAGTGAATTAAAGTAGACAGATGTGAGTAACTCCAAGGTGTACTGAATTATCATTTGCACTCCCTGAATTAAATATCCTACTTGGATTTGTCATTATAGTTTTTTTAAAATAAAGTCAATCCATAAAAACATTTTCTAAAAGTATAAAGTAAATTGGGTTCTACGTGCTTTATTGAATATTTCTAAATGCCAAGTAGAAAGGAATGGACAAATACATGGAAGGGAGTAGAAGATGAGTGTGACCCTGAAGTAGACTCACTCAGAGTCAAATTGCTCCCAATGGAGTTTTCGACAATACAATTAAAATAACTCATCACATTACCTGAATGATAGTGACCCATGAAAAGCCCAGTAAAGTTTTGAAGGAACGACAGATGATCCACCATAGCTGCTGCCAGAAAGGGGTGACACATGTGATCTTCTCCAAGGCTGGGCTCCTACCATCCTTCTGTTCCCCCAAGAGTAGATCCAGTTCAGTTCTTATTCTGCTGTATAAGGAGGACTGGGCATACATATTGGCTAATTTTTTTGTGACTTGTTGCTGTTTCTCAGAAATCTCTTCATATTTGTTGGTTTTAGGATAAAAATGGATAAAGACAAGAAACAGTTAAATAATAATTTAACTGATTTTTCTGAGACACTTGTCATGAATAACATATAAATTATGTATCATTTTTTCTGTAAGACAGTCTCATATACCCTAGACTGGCCTCAAAGTTGCTATGAATCCAAGGATGACCTTAAACTTCTTCAGGTCCTCCTGTTTTTGTCTCAAGCTCTGCCATTACAGGCATGCACCTTCACACCCAGTCACGCAATTTTCAGAACCAGACTCAAAGTTTTGTGCGTGCTAGGCAAGCAATCCACAGGCCGAGCTTCATCTTCAACCCACTATATTCGAGTCTTCTAAAATTATTCGTGGATAATTTCCTCACAGATTGGAACTGTCCCTAAGTGACATGACTACTGACATCCCAGGGACACAGCTAACTGAATGGCCTTTTCCCAACCCTGATTCTTAACAAAGTCATCTTTACCTGAAGCATCTATACTTCTTAACATAAAAGTCTGCTCTCTGCTATCTGCTTCAAGTGAATGTATATACAAATGTATATGTAAATACACAAACTTCCAAGTACCTTGTTTAAAAAATGTTATAGACAAATCCAGGCAAGGTGACACAGCCCTGTGTCTTAGTTAGAATTTTTACTGCTGTCATGGACCACCATGAACAAAAGCATGGTGGTGCATCACTGAAGGAAGTCAGGACAGGAACTCACACAGGACAGGAACCTGGAGGCAGGAGCTGATAAAGAGCCATGGATGTTGCTGCTTATATGACTTGCTCCCTATGGCCTGCTCTTCCCATTTTCTTGTAGAAACCAGGAGCACCAGCCCAGGGACAGATCTTCACACAATGGGCTGGGCCCTTCCCCATCTATCATTAATCAAGAAAATGCCCTACAGGCTTGCTGACAGCCCAATTTCATGGAAGTATTACTTTAACAGAGGTTCCCTCCTCTCAAGACTTTAGCTTGTGCCAAATTGACATGAAATTAGACAATTTACCCTATAATACCTGTACTTGAGATATGGGTGAGAAGGGACACACATTCAAGGCCAGTCTAGCTACAATAAGCAAACTATCTAAAGCAATATAAAGAACAATAGGACAAACAGTGAGTACATTTACTTTCATAAGTTATATAAAAAACACAAAGCACAGATAACATGGCTATTATCTAATTTGAGGACACTGAGCTAACATAAAAAAGCTCTATTCTAATGAACCACAGTTGTGTTTTTATGAAATCAGTTAGGCAAAATTCTGACTCTAGAAGACTCACATACCTTCTTGGTCATCTCCCTCTATGCCTAATATAGCAGAGAAATCTCCAGTAGTAATGTCTAGGAAGAAGTGTCCAGGGTGGTTATGGAAAACATAGTCGAAACCTACAAAGAAGATAGGTCATGAACACAAACCTGAGGACCCTCTTTCAGAGACTGGGAAAGGGGAGGGGAGACAACTTCTACAGAATCTAGCAACTTCTTCCTCCTTTCATCCCTTCCTCCACTAATCTATCCTTTCCTATTATATATACTCTCATACCATTTAAAATATCTGATTCCCAGTCTAATATATATATAATATATGTATTTACACATTTATGAATACATATGTATGTTTATGTGTATGTTATATATTCATATGTGAACTCTTTCTATGAAAGTGATTTGAATGTGACCTACATTTTTATAGGACTCAAAAAAATCACAAATGTTTACACAATTTTTACTGACAAAGATTAATCAAAAACAAATAAAAAGTTACAGACAGCAAATATTTAAATCTATATTTAGAGTCAAAGGAATCATCCATAAATCTACTCATATTTCAGATAAAACTGATGGCATGAAGGACTAAAAAGTCTGCTGTCATTGAATCTTATTCTGAACAAATCAGGCAGACAAAAACAGGAGTCACAAAAGCCAGTCTTGATCCACTATTATAGCCTCCATCACAGCCTAACTGGGAAATGCAAACTTACTGCTAAGTTACATGATATCTCCATCTCCTCAGTCAGATCACACTAAGGGAAAACTGAAAACCACCATCTGCTATGTGAGCAAGAACACGAAAGCACTGGGCCTCTCCAAAGTTCTTCCATGAGGAATAACTGAGCCTGGTGCCCACATGTTAATCAAGAGGGTCACCTGACCAGGAAGCAGAACAAGTGGCTCAGTAAAATACTGTGACACAGGTGACACAGAACGGGAGAAAGAAGAGAGGCCTGAACAACAAGCCCATGCCTCACAACTAACATTATCCTGTTACCACATTAACCAAAGGTATCTGAAACGGAGAAACCAACACACTGCATGTCTGCAGGAGGATCAAGGCACATTCCTGAGAACCCCTGTTCTCCTCCCAGATCCCGTGAAAGGTGAATGAAGAAGCTCTCACAGCAAAAGCCAGCCATACCTTCCGATATGAAGGGCTCCAAAGCCTCCTGTGCAGGGCCGTGAAACATGACTTTTCCTGAGGCCACTAAGGTGAGACTATCAAAATAGCTGAAGATGGAGCATGGGGGCTGATTGATGGAGAAGATGATTGTCCGTCCCATCATAGACATCCTAAGTTTAAAGAGGGAAAAGCCATAAGTCAGTGGACAGAGGAACCTTGAAATTTTCAACAACATGTTTTATTCCTGAAGTTATACTCTTTGTTCCCACTTCAGCTTGAATTTTCCTTAGAAACATATATCACTTGTATTATGCACTCCATAGGAAATAAACTAAAGCTTTTATTTAAAAGATTTGGACTAGATAAACTAAGCTGTGGTGGCCCAAGCCTTTAGTCCCAGCACTTGGGAGGCAGAGACAGGCAAATATCAGACTCTGAGGCCAGTATGGTCTACAAAGATACAAAGAGAAATTCTGTCTTGAAAAATAAAAAATAAATAAGTAAATGAATGAAAGATTATGACTTCCAACAGGTGGAGTGTCAGTAGTCCAGGGTCCACTTGAGTGTTACTGACAATGAAAATCCTTGGCTGTCTTCTAGACACTAAGTGGGAATATCTGGGAGTCAGTTCAAGGAGTCCATATCATGAACAGGCAGCCCAGGTGATGGACAGGTTCACTCAAGATTGAGGACCAATGACAGAGCAAATATTACAACTATTACTGTGTGCACAATTTTCTCTAATCATTTACTTTCTGCCTCTTCAGGAAGTGATTTTCACTATTCTCAAAATGTGATTTACATTCCTAGCCTCGCTCTCCCTGCTAAACACTTCAGTAAGAACCTCATTTCAATCTTCACAATATCGGCATGAGGCAATTCTAATATAATTTCACCTCTGTGTTGATAGGGCTTAAAATGTCAAGCAAAAGACCAAGGGGGTCACAGTTAGTGAGGGGATAGCCTGGGATTTCATCATTGGTTTAATTCCATGATAGGAAAAAATAAGTTCAACTACCATTTCAGGATGTCACATCTGCCGTTAGGAGAACCAATATCAAAAACAGTATTTAAACATGCTATGAAAATATTTTACAAAAACTGGATATGGTGGCATATCTGTAATATCCTAGCACTTGGAAGGATGAGGAGTTCAAGGCCCACCTGGGTTTCATGAGACCCTGTTTCAAAAAGACAAACCGAAAGAATGAAAGAAAGGGAGAGTTTGAAAGGGAGGGAAGGAGCAATTAAGATGGGAAGGAAGGTAGAGAGAAGACAGTAGGAGGGAGATAGAGGAAGGAAAGGAAAAAAGAATGAGAAACTGATGTGTAGCGCACACCTGGAATCCTAGCATTTAGCAGTCAGAGGCAAGAAACTGAGATCAGCCTGGGCTACACAGTAAAATGAAAACAAAAGAAAACAAAACATGAAACTTCAAGAAAAGCATCTCAAAAGCCTATACTACGAGGTGTCAGGGTGTGCAAAGGCTGACTGCCTCACAGACAATCAGGCCAGGCAGTGATGTCAATACGGGAGGAGCAGAAACAGACAAGGATTTCTTGTAAGCAAAATAGACCGGCAACACCAACTGAAGGTAAAACAGAGTGCTAAGAGGAGAAAGAACCATTTGTACACAGTGTGAACTAAAATGTCTATCCAAGAAACTATGAGAGCTCACTGCTACACAGCAAGGACTGTGTGTGCCTGAATGTGTTTGAGAAAGGGAGAAAGTGGGGAGAAGGGGAGACAGGGAAGAAGAGAGATGTAGATACTAAAAGGAAGGAGGGAGAGAGAAATAAGAGATGCAAAATTAATATAGAAAGAGATTGTCGGAAGAGCAGCTTAGGTGCAGGAAAAGTCCTGTCAGAAGCTGGAACATTAGGTGGATGTTAGGAGAGAGCTTGCAAAGGTTCAGAGCAGAGAGAAGACATGGCAAGAGCCTTCCTCAAAGTAAGGTCTAGACCTTGTCGAGGTCTGCGGCTTCAGTATCTCCTCCCACATAATTTAGTTTGGAATACATAGCAGTGTCAGACTCACACCTATGGGATCACACCTACAGACAGAATCAGACCTACAAAAACCTACAGGAATGGAAGATTTTTTTTACATGAAAGTAAAAATTTGTTTTAAAATATATGGATCCTTGTTAACATTTAAAAAATATGTATTTAGTTCCAGTGTTTTTTGTCTGAATGGATGTCTGCATATCCTGTGTCCTTGAGATATGTGGATGCAAGAAGACTGCACAAGATTCCCTAGAGCTGTAGTTCCAGATGGTTGTGAGTCACCATGTGGATGCTGGGAATGGAACCTGAGTCCTCTGGAATAACAACCAGTGTTCTTAACTGTTAATCCGTCTCTCCTGCTCTTGTCAAAGATTTTATTTAAATACATGAAACCATTTCCAAGGAAAGGATTGAAATACATTGTATGGATTTCCTAACAGATCAAATAAAAACATAGTAAACCTCTCAGTTAAGGGACTTCTTTGTTCAAAACTGCGATTGATTAAATACTTAGAATAATGAGGAATACTATTATAGGCCATTGTATAAAATAGGAACTTAGAAGATAAACATTTCCACACAGAAGGTCATGTTAGCTTCTGAAGAAACTAACACAAGAACAGAAGTTACTAATGCATGTGAAAACGGGTTGTTAGAGACAAGATAACTGGAGAATATTGGCACAACTGCCAACTGGTTTCCATGGAGAATATTAACAAGCCACAAAAGGAAAATTGCAGTTTCATATCGTATAACCCAACAACTGCCTACATGATTAAAAGATCAAGATTCAAGCCAGGGAAATGAGATCGTTCAATAGGCAAAGGAACTTGCTTCCAAGTCTAAAGACCTCAATTTAGTCCCTGAAATCCTCTGGGTGGAAGGGGAAAACCAAGTATCTGGAGTTTTCCTCTGACCTCTATAGGAATGCTATAAACACACACACACACACACACACACACACACACACACACACCATAAATAAATAAATAATACATACATAAATGTAAAATTTTTTTGAAAATATTCCTACCATGGAGGGTACACTCCCTGGTGTTGGAAACGAAGGAGAACACAACTTATCAGAGCCTGAGTCTGCTCCCAGAACACTAGGAGAAACCACAGGTAAGATGACTCCATGCAATGCACTAACACTAGCCATGAATGAGAAACAGAGATAGAGAGATGCATTCCATTTTGGAAACTGAGCAAGAACTTGATCTTAGAGTATCTTGTAGCAGGTAGGAATGGGGACAGACAGGGAAAATGGAGACACATGGGGAGTCTACAGAGTAGAAGGTGGCAAGTCCCCAGTTGTTGACTTCCTCAATGGGGAGGTATAAAGATGAAGAGATCTTGACTATGAAGTTACAGGCCAGAGTGTTTAGGGAGATGAACCATGATGTCAGAACCAAAGTACAGAGAGAAGATAAGAAAGAGAGTACAGTAAGTTCCATTTTCAGGATCGTAGGTCATGGGAATGAGTTAGCCCTTACATGGTTCTTGGAATTCTTTAGTCAGTTGGAACTCTTATTATATTTTGAAATCCTTACACTTTTTCTATAACTACTTCAGTCACAGACTTCTTTCCTTAGAGAAGAAAATGTCATTCATTTTCCTTCATTCTTCCCCAGATTCAGGGCTCAGTTCTTAGGAATCATGCCTCAGCCATCACACTCAGGGCTATTCCCACAGACAATCCTTTTCATTCTATATTTGAAACTACCCAGAATCCACCATTTTAAAGCAAAGGAACCCCCACACCTCAGGTTCCTGCTGACATCTTCACGTCCTATGGTACAACTGTACAACCTTCTCCATGATGCATTGCTCTTATCTAACTAAGTAGTGTTTCCACATGCCCGCCAAGGAAAACCTTAGTCCTTACAGTGGCCTGTGTGTTCTAGGCAATCTACACCCAACCCACCCAACCCTGGTCACTCCAATTGTGAATGTGGATGGCTGAATTATGTTCTTCCAAAGACTCTTTTGTGGAAGACCTCACATCTAAGAACTTGGAATGTGGCTATAATGGAGATAGAGTCTTTAAAGAGGTAATTAAGTTTAAATGAGATTACTAGTGTGTGCTAATGTAACTGGTGTTCATTTAAGAGATCAGAGCATAGACACATGAAGAGGGAGAGGACACCATCCACAATCAGTGACTTGGGCTTCAGGAGAAACAGCCTGTGAATACATTAATGTGTGCCTTCCCGATCTAGAACTGTAAGAAATTTAACACCACACAGTCTGTAGTGTCCTTGGCAGTTAACTAGCAACTTTCAATCTCCTCAAGTCACTGGGAACAAGTCCACCCTGTCTCTCTAATATTCTAGACACATCAAACATGCTTATTCAGAGAACCAATGAGTTTTCCCTCCACCCAGCACTCTGTTCAGCTCTCACTCACTCACGCCCAGTTCACTTGTCACATGCTTGAGTGTCATGGGGACACACTATTTAAAGCAGGGCTCTACCTTCACCACAGCCATCTTTCCCTATGCTTTTCTCTCCTTGTTCTCAATATGTATTCCTTGTTAATGGAAATTTCCTTCTAATAAACAAGGAAGAAATTGTGTTCCTTACTTCTGAATCTCCTGTACCAAAATGCACACAAGTGCCCAGGTATTGAGTGAATAAAACTAATGTTCGGTACTTACCTTCTCAGGGCTAAGATGACATCAATAGTATTTCTCAAGTCTAAGTCAGTGGTGGGGTCATCCAGGAACAAAATGGGATGCTCGGTGACCAGCTCCATTGCTATACTGGTTCTCTTCTTGAGCTCCTTAGATCTAGGCTAAAGCACCAATGACTGTCATTATCAACAGGAACAACCACAGTCATTATCATTTGGTGAACTAGCCTGTACTAGAAATAAAAGGTTTCATTATATCAATACCCTAGGAGCAGAGTGTGGGCATCTGGGATAAGAAGGAGGACTTTCCTCTTTTCTAAGGGAGTAGAAAGAGATTCAGATCAGAGTTGACATGAAGCCTGTGACAATTACTGTTTTTCTTCATCAAGTCACATATTCAAGGACAATGAGTTTGACAAACTCCCAGACTGGCACAGTAACAAGGAAGACAGGACAGGAGAAGATGAAGTATCTCTCGCAATTTAATAGTCATTTATCACCCTCCTAACAAACTCTCTCTCTCTCTCTCTCTCTCTCTCTCTCTCTCTCTCTCTCTCTCTCTCTCTCTCTCTCTCTCTGTGTGTGTGTGTGTGTGTGTGTGTGTGTATCCCCACCACACACACCTACACAAATATACACACAGTACCCAAAACAACACACACACACACACACACAAGCATTCATGAGGGTGTGCAAGGACACACACACAGAGGCCTCTTTTGAAAGTTATCATTTAAAACTTACATTGAAATTTTTGCAATCTATTACATTTCATGACTCCAAAAAGGTATCAAATACTTTTATATGTTGACCATTAAAACAAGTAATTTAAGATGATGACTGGTTATTCTTAAACATAGAAAGAAAGTATTATTATAAATATTATCCAACATTAATAAACAGAACCAAAGCACACAAAATTCCATCATTAGTGAAAATAGAAATTGTGGTAAATGTCAGCTTTTCTATTGTTCTTCCCAACAGGACAAACATCTCATAAATGACTGCCAAGGTGTATCATGGGAGTCAAGAGCCAGTATCTTTCCCCACTGTCTCTAAGGTGCAGCCTTCACAGAAGTTAATCTGTGGTGATGTCTTTCTTGCATAAATAAAGCCTGTCTGGGGATCAGAGAATGAAGTTTGCCACTAGCTAACCATAGCGGTTTGGAGGTCTGTACAGATAGGAAGCAAGTGATGTAGCTGCGCAGAAACTGCCACTAGCAGACCATAGAGGTCTGGAGGTCTGCATCGACAGGCAGGAAGTGACCTAGCTGGGCAGTAACAGTATATAATCAGGGACAAACAGGAAATCACTCTTTTCTCAGCAGAGATCCTTAGGAGGTAAGGTGTGCTGTGGCTTGCTCCCTCACTTTGATCTCTCATTATTTCCCTCTATATCTGACTCCAGTCTTTAATTATCTAGACCAATTAAGGACTCCTTTTACATATACCAATGAGAATCCTAGTCTGGGGAGACTATTTTCATCCATACTCCCACTTGTCTGCTCAGCAGACATCTACACATAATCTTCTCAATGGGTTGCTGTCATGTGACAGGCTCAGAGGACACAGAAAAAGGAAGCAATCTTGATATTCTAATCTCTAAGCATGTAACAAACACAGTGCCTATGAGATTCTACAAACAACGTAAAATAAGAACATTTGGAGAATGTGAATGGTTATAATCCTGACAGGGCTGAAGATATCAAGAATTTGTTCATCTTAGTTAAGTGGGGGAATTGTTAAGATAAACAAATGTCTTTCTTTTTTGAAAATTAAGAAAAATAGAGTATTCAGGAATTCAGGATTACATAATATTCTTTTAAAATATGTCAGTAAGAAACTAGTTATATGTGTGGTTCATATCTTGTCTATTATCCCTCCTGATTCTGCACAAATCCTCATAGGAGTCTCTAGGTCTATTTGGTGTGGCTCTTGCTCATCTGTATCATTAATACCTAACACAGAAAATGACATTAAATATTGACAAAAGATAAGGAGAGTGAAGGCATAAGGATATCCTAGGTTTCCATCTAGTTGCTAAGATAAAATGATCTTACAAAAAGTATACAAGGAGCAAAGGATTTTATTTCTGCACATTTCAAAAGTATAGTCCACCATTGCAGGGAACTCAGGGCAGGAAGTTGATGGAGCTGGTTGCATCCAGTCAAGGGCACAGAGAGTATGAATGCATGCATGCCTGACAGTGCTCAACTCACTTTCTCCATCCTCATGCCACCCAGGACCCAAACCCAAAGCATGATGTGGCCTATGATGGACTGGGTCTTTCCACATCACTTAACTTAATCAAGACAATCACATACAGAGATAGCCACAAGGCAACCTGACTACAATTCCTTCTAGACTCTTTTAGGTGATTCTGTGTGATTCTACAATGGGTCAACTTGACAGTTAAAATTAGCCACCACAGACAGGATGAGATAAAATCACAGAGAGAAAGACTACAGGAAATAACAGGCACCAAACAAGTAAAAGTAAATGCTAAAGAGGCCAGGTACAACCCTGCAGGGATATAAATGTAGAGTGAAACACAGAGCCAAAGTTCTTCAGCTCACATCCTATGTCGGTCCAGAAATATAATCTGAAACAACAAAGGAGCAAGTCTTGTGTGGGAAGAGACAATAAATGGAAGAAAGCCCTTGTCAAATTCTCTTGAGACTTGAGTTTAAAACTCAAGGAAGAGGAGGTTTATGTAAGGAACACACAGAAGTGGCCATGGGAAGAACACTTTTTCCTGCCGGATCACACTCTACTCCAGGCTTTACCATTGCTAGAAGGTTTCCCAGCTTAATTTTCTCTTTACATCAGGTAACAAGTCACTCACTCATAGACACAGAGAACAGACACCTTGACCACACACATTGTAGGAAACATTATCCACACAGGGATTTTTTTTATGCTTTGAGAATTTCAGGATTTTTCTTCACAATACCTTGACATGTGACTTCTTATCCAGATGCAGGAGTTTAAGGACATCATTAATTCTCCTTCTTTTGTCATCTCTTGTTATAGACATTGGAAGTCGAAGAGCTGCTGAGAACTCTACATTCTCTCTCACAGTCATTGTGTGCATCACTGTGTCATTCTTAAAGTGGAATTTTAATTAAATACAGTTATCAGGGAGACAACCAGTCTAACCAATGTAACTAATCCTCATACAAACAATACTCTATCTAATACTCTACTGAATAATAGTCTTTCAATGTTACTAGTTTCATTGATGCTATTTTCACCACCCTTCCATTTGCCTTCCAAGTAGAGATCAGGGATTTTGATGATGGCTACCTGCAATTTTTTGCAGAAAACATGTAAGCAGTGGAGAAAGATGGAGGAAGGGTAAGGTTGGACAACAGCAGTCCTTTGTATAATTGAATCACAGCTGCAATTACTAATACTGTACCACAGATATCACACTCCAACCTCTCCCCATCTTCCTATTTAATATTTCCAGCCTCGGGCTAATGAGGCAATAGGAAAAGCTGGTGTAGAGAAAGTTGTGCCTATACATGTATCATATGATGAACTGGAATCACACAAATATACAAGCTGAACATCTGACCATACAGAGGCAAAGGAAATCTAAAATTACAAACCCACCAACACTTACTTGTGGGACATAACCAGAAGTACATTTGAAATTAGCAGGACGAGGTTTTCCATTTATCAAAATATCTCCTGATAATCCACGGGGATCTTTCCTTGCAGCTAAGACATTTAGTAACCTACAGAAGGTTAAATATGTTGTGTAGTTTACTATCTCTCTTCAGTCACAGCTATCACCATTCAGCCACTCAGAATAAAAATTATTCATGTCAAAAGTTTAGCTGAAAAAACACACACAGCAGTCTGTTCACTATGTGCTCTAATAGAGCCCAGAATTATGAATGAAAGACACGATCCACATGAACACCCAGCCCCCTCCTGCTATCTGACCTTGGGTGCTAAAACAGGTAATGTCTTTCTGTATGTTGAAAATTAGGCCTGGTAATGCTTTGTTTTCCCCAGAAACTTCTCCTTCATTGTTCTAACTTTAATATTATCTCCCAAATTAAATACTAGTAAGACCCAGCAACATATGCCAATCGGTCTATCATTCCTCATCAGTAAAATTACCTGTTAAGAGTTTCTCTTGGTGGTAGAAAATGAGAATGCAACATCCTGCACATTATCCACAGCACATGGGACAGACTCACACGTATACACTCACACAATACTTAGATAACTCCTACAGAAGTGGTTTCATGGCATGGAAACTGGATGCAAAAGGCTTGCACTTGCTTTCCATTATACTCACAAAGATCTGCTCCCGTCCTGAGGTCCTATGATGGCATTGAGGCCAGGTTTCATGATCCCACTGCAGACACAAAATCAAACTGGGTAATTTTTCTATTTAAAAATATTACTTTAGTGTCTACACTGAATATTCTAATGAAATTGAATAAAATTATACAAAGAAAATAGAAAATACTCATAGAAAAGTAAACTATTAATAGAGGTCTATTATTCATAAAAGATGTCAATTGCTAGTGGGGACTCACCAGAAAATGCCTGACGTATCACAAAATCCCTTAATTATTATTTAAATGACTTGGTTTATTTGAAATATGTTGCATCTAAGTCAGTGTTCCTTGAAACAAGTAGTAGGTTCTCATCAAGACTCCATTACACATACATACAACCTGTATTTATCATGTATGTAATAGCCTCTTGTTAATTTTTGATGATCAGTATCTTCATATAGTCCTGCTTGCTCCCTAGTAAATCTCTTCACATGAAAACAAGAGTCAAGTGATGTCAGTGGATGTGTCCTTATTATTAAAATAGAATCAAGTCACAGTCAATGCATCTTTTTTTTTCAAGACAGAGTCTCTCTGTATTGTTTTGGAGGCAGTCCTTGAACTCGCTCTGTAGACCATGCTGGCCTTGAACTCACAAAGATCCATCTGCCTCTGCCTCACAAGTGCTGAAATTAAAGGCATGCACCACCAACGCCCATCAGTCAATGCATCTTAAGTAGACATCCAAACACTAGAAAGAAGTGCTCCACAGGACAGGAGAGCACTGCCAAGTTTAGTACTCAAAACAACAAAACAAAAAGACCTGACTCAAAACAGAAAAGCTAAATGCAGACACACAGAATAATTCCCTTCCCTGATAAAGAGATTAGAATATGCTTGGATTAGAGTTGGGAGTCATCCCTCATGGAGAGGACATTCTCTATTGATGAATAGGTACAGCACAAATACAAGTTATGTCATAAAACTGATTCAGAATAGTTAGTATCCATATTGAAAACAGATATTTTTTATAGAAAACTTAGCTCTGTTCCCATTTGGTTTTCCATATCCAGACAATGTGTCAATCATCTGCCCTGCCCATTCCCCTCTTTTTAAGAAATGATAGAGTTTGTAGATGGAGAAAGAGAAGCATTCTATGCCCAAGAAGAGAGTCAATGGTTGGGGTAGGGAGGAAGACGCTATGCTGACTGAGCTGAACAAATTCTCATTGTGTTTGCTCTGTCCTTAGATTTGGTTGAAAGCATGCCTTCTCTATTTTATGAAACAGTGTAGAATGTTGGTTTTAGCTCTTTGTACCTTCTGATGAATTTTGAGCAAATACATTAGGACCAGACTTTCTGCTATTGGGACTTCCTCATTGTTTCCATCTCATCACTTGTAACTGCACCAGTCAGCCTGTTATAAACTCTCAGGTCAGTTTTGGGAGTACATTTTAAAAATATATATGAGGGATAGCCAAGCTTGCTTGTGTTTTCAAAGAAGCATTTTTTTGTGTTATTAATCCATTATATTGTTCTTTTAGTCTCCATCTCATTAATTTCACTGTGATCTTGAATCTATATGTATGAATAACAAGGTGAGACTGGGAAATGGTTCAATGGGTGAGGAACTTCCTGTGCGAGGTTGAGAACCTAAGTTAAACATCCAAAATTCACATAATGTTGGGTACATTCATGGGCACCCATTGGCAGAGAGATGGGAGACAGAGACAGGAGAATCTCAGGATTCTTGCAGGCTGCTAGCCTGGCACATACTCTCAGCGGACAATGAGAGACTCTGTCTGTTACAGTGTAGAAGGTGCACACTAATGCTCAAGGTTGTACTCTTGTAGCCTTGTACTGGGGCGTGTCAATGTATCCACACATCTGCACATGTGAACATGCACACATGTACCTTTATACACACATACACACAGTAACACAAACACACAAATGCATATACAATATGCACAATAATAACTATAGAGAATTCTACGCTTGTTGAAAAAGTTGTTCAATATACTTGTCTCTTTAGTACATGCACATACCTGATGTTTGATAGTTTTTCTATCTCACTAGATTTTTTACAAAATGGAAAGCCACTCTGCACTGTTTCTTGATAGCTGATGTTATGAAAACTTAGCACAGCCTCTCCAGTCAATATCTTCTGGTCACTGGTCTCCATTCCAGTAATGTCATTGGGATTTCTTTCTGTCATTGGGATTGTAGCTGTGTCATTATTGGAAGACATATTGACAAGTTCTTCCTTCCTGTAGAGGGAACAGCAACAGTAAGTTGATGGTCTACATGAACAACATTATGACACAGCACAGCACAATTACAGAATGTATTAAACTGTGCAGCCACAGGCTGATTCCTTCTAAGTGATCACTACAGGTCGCTGTGATTACCTAAGGATTCAATGATAAGCAGACATAACTGAGTACATACACCCCCATTAGATATCAAATTCCTAAGAGACAAATGAGTCCAACTGAGTATAATATGAATGTTGGTATTCAGAATTAATAAAGGATGAAGGGAACAGATGGGGTCTTATTTATCTTACTTCAAAAGCATATTATTATATTATACAAGTTCAGAGTCAGAATACATGACAACCATTACCACATCTCTTATGCATATAATATATACATGACCATGAGGTGTGTGTGTGTGTGTGTGTGTGTGTGTGTGTGTGCAATGCACACAGCATATGCACATACATAGAGAGCTATTCTGGAACAGACTGGTCAAAATACACAGTTGGTTCAAGGTTTGGTGTCAGTTCTAGATATAGAGGTGGCTTAAGGGGCCCATTTCTTCAAATCACAGAGCTGATTCCAGGCATAAGGGGAGTGAAACATTGTGAGTTCAAGTGAGCCACGTCAATTTGGGCTGATCATGATAAGCAGAAAACCTGGGGACAGAATTGAGAATTTGTTGCCTTGTATCTAGTCCTGATGATGGCTCAGAGTATGATCCAAGTGAGGGCATTGTAGAGCTCATGGCTCTGGTATCTTGAACAAACACACAAGTATGTTATATTGTACAAGTTCTTCAAATATCCATGAGTCTAGGTGTTCCTGGCTTGATATGTTTATATTTCAGAATAATTTATTTGTACTAATAAGTTGTTTATTAACCTATGTTTATTGTCTATGCTATGCTAGACAATTGTACACATAAGGTAAAGTCATTTTGCCTCAGCATTTGCTTTTCAAATGAAGCAAACCACTGTTATATGAAATGGAGTCACTCATGGCAAGGCACACTCTGAAAACTACTGTCCTATACAATACAAGGAACACAGGTGGACACAGTATGACCTTTACGTGCCTCATGTCTCACAGTGCCAGGAGCTCTACTCTCTGAGTTTGAGCTATGGTGGGGATCCAAAATCATCACAAACTTGTCATGGTGCCCTGGGATGCACTGGTTGGTAGGCAGCCTGAGGGACAGTAGTGTAGGTGGGAGTGACTGACAGACACACGCCTAGCACAGGCTGTGGAGGCATGAGGACAGGCAGCCCTGCCTCCTGTGACCAGGGATGATGTGGCTCCTGTGGATGGATGACTGCTGAGCCTGAGAGCTCTGAGCAGGTGCTGGAAGATTCTTTGGCTTCTGAAGCTGCCTCATGCAGTTGTTGGTCACTGTCTTAGTTAGGGTTTCTATTACCGTGAAGACACCATGGCTGTGACAACTCTTATAAAGGAAATCATTTAATTGCATGGCTCACTGATAGTTCAGAGTTTTAGTCCATTATCATCATGGTGGGACAAGGTGGCATGCATGCACACATTTTGCTAGAGAAGTAGCTGAGAGTTCTACATCTTATGCAGGAAACAGGAAGTAGTCTGTCTCATTCATATATGAGGCTTCAAAGCCCATCTCCACAGTGATGCATTTCCTCCAACAAGACCACACCTACTCCAGCAAGGCCTTGCCTCTTACTAGTGCCAATTCCTTTGAGAGCCATTTTTTAAAACTTTCACAGTCACTGCCGAGGCTTATGTGCCACTCCTACACCCACAGGGCCATTTTACAGGCTACCATTGATGTGGTTCGTGAGTGTCATTGCTAGATAGTCTGGACTGTTGTTGCCTCTCTGCTTTGGAAGTTTCCTCATGCCTTCTAGTTCCATGAAAGATAGCCCTCAGGGCAGGGAAGGGGGGAGGGGGAACATCCAAGTCAGTTAGAGCTTAGGGACCTCTGGGCACCATGTCTGAAGAACATGGTGTCTTCAGCAATGTGGAATTAGCACCCACCTCTGAGTAATAACTAAGGGAAATAGCAATAGACTCTATGTCTTAGGAGTGTCTTACAAACCTTGTCAACAACTTAAAAGAAGACTTTTCCATGTCTGGTATTTATTTTGTGTTTTTTAGGGAGTCTTTGGGAGCTCCATCAGCCTAGATGGGAAATGGTCATTGCAACTATGTGTGTGTATGTATACACTGAATTGTGCGCTTTATGGCTTTTATTGTTTTAGGGAAATAGTTAATAGTATGATTCCTTGAGGTTATTTCATCCATCCATATTGTTATTTTGCATAAATTCATCCTTCTCCTGTGTTTACCTCACTCCCCTTTCCTTAGGAGAATACCTTTTCTCCTATCAAATAAATTGTATCTAAAAATATGAATCCTTCACCAATTTGTGTGTCATCCTTCCACAGGGGCCCTGCTAATATTCTCTATCCTTCCTGGTTTAATATCATACCACACTCCCATCAATAAAATCTCCAGGCACTCACAAGTCCACAAACTTCAGTGTTAACTGTGCCGTTTTTATCAAATGGACTCAGAAAACTTCTCCAGAATATTCTATGTAATCTATGAGCTCACATCCATCTCAACAGCTCATCCATTTTTTGCCAAGACAGATCACATCTTATGATGTAAAGCAAGTTTTTAACAAATAAAAACATTAATTTCTTGTATCCTACCAGATCATAATCTCAATAGATTGAGTCTTTGATAAACTAAACTCATTCTTGATTACAGCTTGAAGAAGCTGTTCAAACAAAGAAAGAAATAAACAGGAAGAGAAAGTTCACACCTGCACAAAATTAAGACTACTGAGATAATCTTACCAATAGCATTATACAGAATCAGGAATAATTCATATTAGGTCCTCTAAATACAGGATACAACCAAGTGCAACCTTCCCTCAACTATTATTTAATACAGGACTTGAATCCCCACAGAAATAAAACTACAGAGGTTGTGGGAGCCCACTGGTGACTCAGTTTCCACCTGGAGTCTAGTCTGATATAAGACATTAGAATCAAGCTTTCTTGTTTCAGTCTTCCAGAGAGCCGTGAGAAAGTTCTGGTTAAACCCACAGAAAGGAGCATATTATCTAACTAACAAGCTTCTGATGCCAGCCAAAAGGCACATAGAGATAGGGAATGAAGATGCTTGCGGCTAGCAGGACTCATGTGGTAGATAGTGAACCTGGCTGATCCTCAATTCAAGGACTTGTGCAGGGAGCTGGTTAACTGTGCTGCTCTTTCTTCTGCTTTGCCTCTAGTCTGTAGATAAGCAGGGTCTAAATTAAACTCGTGCTGTTCGGTGTACTGTAAGGCATGGACTGAGCAGTCCTCCCGAATCTATCCTTTGTTCCTGTCTTTGTGTCTTTACCTGGCATTTCTCAATCCTCCTGGCCCTACTCAGGTAACCCAGCTGACTAGTTGGAGCAGGCTGCGAACAGAGACAGAGAGAGAGAAAGACAGAGAGAGAGAGAGAGAGAGAGAGAGAGAGAGAGAGAGAGAGAGAGAGAGAGAGAGAGAGAAACAGGAAAGGAAAAAGTCAAAATACTCTGTAAGCGAATGAAATGCTTCTATGTTGAAAAATCCCACAAGGCTGGCAGAGTACTTCCCTAACATACGGTTTGGTCCTCTGAACTACATCCCAAGAAAAAGGCCTTGAAAGCCATTGGGTTCAGCAAGGTGTCTCTGCAGGTGAACAAGCTGGGTGAATAAGACTGGTGATCTTAATTCAATTCAGGAGCATCACAAAAAGTTGTATATAATGGCATGACATTGAATCCCAAAACAGGGGAACTGCCTGTAAGCTGAAGGAAAGCTCACCTGGCGTGTCCAGAATGGAAGAATGTCCAGGAGAGGTCATCTCAAGCTGGAATAGCAGAACTGACTTACAAAAGTTGTCCTGTGATCTACACACACAGTGTAACACATACACACACATAAACACACACACATGTGCACACACACACATGAACACACATGAATACATACACATGCATACTCACAAATGCACACATAGGAACACACACCTCATACACATGAACATACAGACATCACACACACACATGCAAACACATGCACAAACACACACACCACACACATGCATGCACACACATGTACACACACACACACAGAAACACACTGTAAAGACTGACAGCAGTTGTGCAAAAGCATTTCTGCATTTAAATAAGCGGAGTAGGTTATGGAAACCAGTTTGTATATCGCTAAATGTACACGTATTCACAGAATTGTACACTGTAAGATGGTGAGGTGTGAGATGCTAATTATACTATAATCAAGTTATTCCTGAGGAGAAAAAGTGTGATGTCAAAGTCATCTAGACTATTAATTTTTGTTTCACACCATGAAGTGAGCTGAGTAGTAATCTTCAGTGAGGAGAAATTTAATTTTCTATGTGCCATCACAACTTTGTGGGGGGTGGGGGATGGGGGGTGGAAGGGTGGATGGATGTGGGTATGGAAGATAGGATTTCCATTTCTTTAATTTTCTTAATCTATCTTAATCCTAATTAATTTTCTCAAGCACCTGATTCTGAGACTTCCTACTTCTTGCACTTTTCAAATACTATCAAACTTTAATCAATAATAGTCAATAGAATGTCTGGGGTGTCAGGAAAGCTGCCCCAACCTGGTCACACAGTGTTCAAATGCATTAGATGTCACGTGGTACTCCCAGAATATACACACAGTGGCTGTGAGGTTATTAACAAATATTTAAAGAACACAAAATTCACTTAATCCATACAAAATCTTGGTTTATCTTAAAGACCTGTTCGTCAAGAGTGTCTCTAACACTCAGGGAAGGAAATGACAACTCAGGTTACCTTGGCAGAGGCACTATGCTGGCACTATGTGATGGTTGCAGGCATAGCCTTCCTTTGAGTCTCCTCCACATCCCATATTAACACACACAAGAGTTGTTCGTTCTCAAGTAAGTCCAGGAGAAGCTTCTCTGAAAAGCGACTATGTTTCCCCTTCTTGTTTCTGAGCTGTGAGACTGATCAGCCCCTTCTCTCTATGGTCTCAAGAATGGAACTTAAGGGGCTGAAGAGAAGGCTCAGCAGTTAGGAGCACACACCACTCCTGCAGAGCACCTGGCTCCCATTGCCAGCACCTACATAGGGGATTTCCAACTGTCTGCAACTCTAGTTCCAGGGGATCCAGTGCCCTCTCTGTCCTCCACGGGCACTTGGTATACATGCAGTGAACTTACACACATGCAAGGAAACATTCATACACATCAAATAAAAATGAATAAATCACTGAAGCGTAACTGAACTTAGCATTGAGGGCCCCTAAATGTATCTTGTGCATTCCGATGTTCTTTCTCACAACAATTCTCCATTCTACATCAATTTTGTTTTTCACTTATATTTATCCTCCTTTCAAATGCTTCACAGATACTTAGGCACAGTCAAGTGCAGGAAAAAGTTCTGCTGTGTATGCATTTTAATACACATCGATGGAAGAGAACGTACTGGTGGAGAGGTACATGTCAATTCCATAAGAAGGGCTCTTCCATGGAAATGCACAGGCTTGGACACATAATGCTTCATAAATATGTTACTATTAAACTTTCCCTGTTTATGAAACTAGACAAGCCAATTTGTTTCCAGTATTGCATTTGAAAAGAAGATAGCATTATAGACACACAATTCACTGAAAGATTTACAGTATAGTTGTTTTAACTTTATTTTCTCTGTCCTTTCAAACTGTTTCCTGACTATCTGAGTAAGAGTTGTAAGAAGTTGGTGAATATCTGCATAGCAAACTAGAGACTTTTGGGCATGTTTTACATCATGAAATAAAGAAAAAGAATGAATTGTTCAGTTCCCTTAAAATACTAGTACAACAAATTTCCTTTTCACTGGTGGTAACTTCCCTGCTTGATAAAACTTTTAGCCACCCAACATCAACTTTATTTACCTTCACACATTTAGAGATCAGCTATTGTACATCTTCAACCTGCCCCAAACACCATACCCTCCCTCTACAGACAGATGACATGACCAGTAGCTTGCATTTCACACTTTCAAATTAAGCTAATAGGATTTCCCAGCCCTGTCCACCCACACTCACCAGGGTCAGATGCAGGGGCCCAGTCAGCTTGTGCACAGGATGAGGGGAGACTTGCAGCTCTGGCCTGAGGCTCAGACTTCTGCCCCACAGCTTCCAGGAGCCTCTGCTTCCAGGCCACCTCTGCTGCCAGCCTTCAGGGGGCGGGGACCTGAGCAACTCCCTAACAGAAGAGGAAGTGGAGCACCAGGACTGGCTGTGTAGGGGAGGAGGCATGGAGGAGGGGCACTTTTGGGTCAGGGAGGGGCATAGAGTTAGTATGGTAATAACAAAATGGGACAGAGTAAGAGGCTCAGAAATACATTCATGAATTAATTATCACCTGATGTATACCCAGAGTGTCAAGAACACAGAGACCAGAAAGACATCAACTTCAACAAACAGTGTTAGGGAAACAGGGCATCCACCTGAAGAAAGGATCCACGCTACACAGAAAAGTCAGTCAACAAGATCCCAATATATACAAATCATAAAAAGTAGACTAGAAGAAGCAGAATGCTGGTTGCCAGTGCCTGGAGGAGGGGATACTTCAGAAGATATTGGACAAAATCCATAAAATTCCAGTTGTATAAGAAAGGAAATGCACAGGAAGTATAAAAGACTGAGAAGAAAAAAAACAGTTTCTCAACATTTATCTTGACAATGGCATTTTTAGCTATTACACAAAAAGTACAAGAAACAAAATAAAAAAAAAACACACAAGTGGAGTGGAATCCAACTAAATGGCTTCCTGCCAGGAGAAGAAATAACCAAGGAAAGTAGAAACCAGAATGGAAGAGCAAAGTTTGCAAACCACAGGTTTTCAAAATATATAAAAATATTATGTAACTCAACAGCAAAACAACTCAAATACCCAATTAAATATGAGAAAGAACTTGATTAAATATATCTCTAAAAGAAAAGCACAAAATGGCTGGTAAGTTAACGGAGAGATAGTGAACATCATTATCTTCAGGGAACAGGAAGTCAAAATTGAAATGAAGAATCATCAGAGGTCTTTAGGTGACTATCAGTACAAATACCAAAGATAACAAGTTTTGAAGAATATAGAGCAAAAGTGGACCCTGTTTGCTATTGGATAGGACATAAATTGTTATAGACACTCTGGAGTGAATTACAGCACTTCCTAAAATAATAAAATACAAGTTCTGTATGACCCAGAGATCTTATTTCTATGCATAAGTAATGGTTAGTCTTCATTGTTGACTGGATGGAATTTTAAATCACCATGGAAACAAATCCCTGGGTATTTCTATGAGGGGTTATCTAGATTAGGTTGTGTGGGAGACCTGTCCTAAAGATGAGTGATGCTATTCCATTTGCTTTGATTCAAGCTCATGGAAAAGGAAGAAGAGAACTAAATATGGGTCTTTGTTCCTCGACTTCAGGATTGTAGATGAACCTTCACCAACTGCCTCATGGTCTGCTGTTTGCTTCAATGGTCTGTGTCCTCCTGAACTGTCAGTCAAAACAAACCCTTTCTCCTGTGAGTCAGTTTTTTGTTTTTGCTTGTTTGTTGTCAGCTATTTGGTTATAGAAACAGAATGTTGGTATGTGGTCTTATATTACTTATGATTTAATAAAGCTTGCTTGAGGGTTCATGATGCAAAGCCAGCCACAGTCTATAGAGTTTGGGCAGTGGTGATATGCACCTTTAATCCCAGCAGCCACACTAGTATAGAATCTATGCAGTGGTGGTACACACCTTTAATCCCAGGACTTGAGAGGTATACAAAGAAGAAGTAAAATCAGGGGTAGAGAATTTTTCTCCAGCCACTTTGAGGAAATATAGCATTCTGGACTAGAGTTAGGATTGCTGGAGACAGGATTATGTTGCATGGCTACATAGTGCATGTATTATGTGGCTGTGTAAGGACTCTGCATGCAGAAACCAAGCTGAGCTGAGACCATGCAGAGCTGGGCCAATGGCAGCTCCATGACTTCAGTCTCAATGGCCCCAAGTGTTGAGCTTCCTTTTTTAATTTAAATTAAAAACAATCTTATTTTACATACCAACCCCAGTTCCCTTTACCTCCTGTCCTCCCATGCCACAAAACAAACCCCCAGCCCCACCCTCCATCCACTCCATGAGGCCTCCCATGGGGAATTATCAAAGTCTGTCACATTTTTGGGGGCAGTACCTAGGCACTTCCCAATGAATCTAGGCTGAGAGAGTATCCCTCCATAGGAATGGGCTCCCAAATCCATTCCTGCACTAGGGATAAAAACTGGTTCCACTGCCAGAGGCCCCATAGACTGCCCAGGCCTCCCAACTGACACCCATGTTCAGGGGGCCTGATTAGGTTCTATGCTTGTTCACCAGCTGTCATACTGGGGTAGTAAGATCCCACTTAGTCCTGTCAGATGTTTCTGTGGGTTTCCCCAGCATGGTCTTGACCCCATTGTTATCACTCTTCCCTCTCTACAAAAGAATTCCCGGATTTTGTCTCAGAGTTTAGCTGTGGATCTCTGCTTCTGCTTCCATCAGTTAATGGGCAAAGGCTCTAGGATGGCATTTAAGGTAGTCATCAATCTCATTATAGCAGAAGGACATTTAATGTAGCTTATCCACTATTGCTTAGATTCTTATTTGGGGTCATCCTTGTGGATCTCTGGACATTTCCCTGGTGCAAGATTTCTCCTTAAATCTACAATGGCTCTCTCTATTAAGGTATCTCTTTTCTTGCTTTCCTTCTCTATTCTACTCAGTGGAAAAATACAATAAAACTTGAAATTTTCAGGCAAATGAATGAAACTAGAAGAAACCATCCTGAATGAGGTAACCCAGACACAGAAAAACAAACAAGGTATGTACTCACTCATAAGTGGATATTAGACATAGAGCAAATGATTACCATCCTATAATCTATAGCCCCAGAAGCTAGGAAACAAGGAGGACCCTAAGCGAGATGTACATGGACACCTGGAGAAGAGAAAATGCCAAGATCTCCTGAGCAAATTGGGAGCACGGGTATGGGAGATGGGAGGGAGGGTACAAAGAGGGAGGGAGATAGGAGGAAGTGGAGGGGGAGGAGAACATGAGGGGTCAGGAAGATGGAGTTCAGGGAAGAAGAGAAGGCAGAGCCTCCTTCTAAACAGCTCCCTTCCCTTCTAACTAGGCCCTTCCAGCCTTTTATTTCTCTTTCCATTTCTGTACACAATTCATAGGTTAGCTTCTAACCCTTCCTTCACTCCCTTTCCCAATAAACTCCCAGTGGTTTTGTTGAGTTTGAAGTTTCCTATTATATACCCCAAAACTGCAGCAAAGAACAACATCATGTTTCTTGTGCAATTATTCAGAACAGTCACAATATTGATTGACTATGAATGCTCCTTCGTGGCTGAATGAGTAAAGACTATGAAGAATAGGAACACAGCATTTAACAAGGACAGAATATGTATAAACCTTAGAGCCATGGGCTAAATGACATGATCCAAATACAAAAATGCTGTGCTACTAATGCCTCTCTGCAGGGAAATAGAAAACCTGTGAATTTAAACACTGCTCTCAGATGTCTAACACCCGGGGATGGAATAAAGGATGAATCAGCAGGCAAGAAGATACAGGGTGGAGAGGCTCTTACCGTACCAGCCAAACAGTTTATTTTAATCTCTGCAACCCAGATGAAGGTGGAAAGAGGTGTGGCATGTGCCTACAGGCACACAAACACAGCCACTCAGTGAGGCACACAATATCTCACATACAACAACAGTAGTTTTTTTTCTTTTTTAATCACTCAGTTCAACTACTGAAGAAAGCCAAATTCATCTAATTAGTTACTATATGAGAAACACTACTGAGTTAACTCTCTCAAGAACTTCCAGAACGCCCATGGACTGTTAAGTTTCGCTATTTTAAAAAAATGTGAACCCAAGAGGGTGGACAGATGACTCAGTGGTAAGAACGCTTGCTGATCTTCTAGAGGACAGAAGTTTGTTCCCAGCATCCACATCAGGCTGCTTCTGACTTTCTGTAACTCCAGCTCTGGGGAATCCAAAGCCTCTGAACACCAAAGATGCTTGTACTCACATGCATATACCACAGCAGACATACATACTACATAAAATAAAAATAGTCTCTCAAATATATAAACCTAACTCCTTAACCCCATCTCCAAAATGTATTGTAGGTATCTCAGGTGACAAACAGAAGTCATTCTTCATCCACTGAGATTGGCTGATGTCATCCACCTCCATCAAAACATCCATCAGCCTGACTGTTCCTAGATGATGTCATTCACCTTCTCATCAAAGCCAACTTTACCTAACTGCTCCTAGTAGAAGTAATACTGTGCTGTCTGGGTCACCTTTCAAAATGGATGACATTTTTGATCCAGTTAGGGGAGTGCTGATGGGCAACAGCTCTCATATGGCAGTACTTTGAATGACAAAGGCCTCCAGGTCAGACTTCCCTTGGTGGGTAGGCATGACACGTAGAGACTAAAACCCTTGACCCAACATAGGCTAGCTCAAAAGTTCCAGCCCAGCTCTCCTTCAGGAGTTCAGAGGTCAGAGGCTGCCATGTGACAGCTCTTCCTCTCCATCCTGCTTCTCTTCAGGTACTGGACTATATCAGAGTACACACAGGTGGGATTCTCAATGAAACTAGGAGGATTTCAGAAGGAAAACCCTTTGTTTTGTTCATTAATATCTGACTACTGTGCCTAGAACCCAGAAATTTAACTGCTAAATTAACATTTATTGGATTGAAGTCATTCACTCAAATAGGAATTATAAAAGTATGTTTTCCCTAATATAATACATTTGACTACCACATAGTAATGGTGCATGCCTTTATCCTACCCCTCAGGAGCCAGAGACAGGCAGCTCTCTATGAGTTTCAGAATAGCCTGGTCTACAGAGCAAGTTCTAGATTCTAGGATACCCAGGGCTACACAGAGAAACCATGTCTCAAAAAAAAAAAAAAAGAACTGAGTTTATCAACCTGTGACAGCCTTTGAGCTGTCAACATAATGCCAGGATACAACAAGGAGTAGGGTGAGGATCGATCACCCAGTGAAGACAGATACTGGGGCTGAGGGAAGGTCACCCAGAGAAGAGTGATCCTGTGGCAGGGAAAGAAACTGAATATTAGAGAGGGCCCATGA